ATCATTTATAGACCCTCCGCTCGGGGAATTCGGCGAAATATTACCCTCAGTGATGATATTTCCCTTGGGGCAAACCCCCTCGGGAAATATCATCACTTCGGGTAATATTTCGCCGAATCCCCCTCGCTCCAGGTCTATAAATGATAATTGTTAATTCATCTACGATTTTAAATATAGCCTATATAGGCCTACAGTACAGGGACAGGGTGTATGAAAAAAAGTTAATCCAACATTGACATGTTATCGCGCGTTTCCTTTTTCGTATTTATAAAGATCAGGCTTTTAGTTTCAAATGTCACCTGGCTTTATGGAATGATTGCGATAAAAAATGACCAGATGCGATCTGATTTGAAGTGATCGGCTGAATTCGCACTTTTCCACCTTTGCATGGGATTTAATTTAAATGTTCTTCCAATTTTCGAACATTTGTCCAAATGTTTGTTGCCCATTTTGGAAAGTATGCCATTGTCAATTGGCATTGTGAGTCCAGCCTACAAGCTCTGTAAAATGTTTTACTCAATTTCGATGTAGGCTAAAATGGTGATTTCAAAGTTTGTCAAAGCTTGATGCACCGGCATGCGCATGCGGGAAAAATGCGATTTCGACCGGCATTTTTAAATCGGATTGTGTTTGGTTATTTTTTATCGCAATGATGCAAGAAAGGCAGCATTCGACAGGTAAAAGTCTGATCTGTATTGACATGAAAAACGTAAATGGATAAACGTAATATATTATGCACAATAACATGCCAAAGTTGGATTACCTTTAATTTTATAGATTTTCCAGCACAAGGCGAATTTGTTCACGCAAACAGTAAATTGAATTTACTTGGAGTAGTCATGTTTACAGTACCTGGTATTTGTAAGGACAACATTTTCTTCAAAATTTCAAAACATGCAAATATATACAATATTACGTAAGTCAAAAATAATTACCTGTGTCACTATCCTTAGTCAACTTTTGAGCTTCTTGAATCTCCTCAATCGCCTTTTTAGTATCTCCAAGTTTGAACCAGGCAATGCCCAAACCTGTTAAAGCCTTCTTTTTTAGAATATCATCATTAACATGCGTTCTAACAATATACAGTGCCTTTTCATACCATTCTATTGCCATCTCGTAATCACAATCTTTCCCGCAAACTGTTGCCAAATTCAAACACGATGTTCCTTCACAATGTCTATCACCAAGTTCCACAGCAATTGTCAAAGCTTCTTGGTAATATTCCTTCGACTTTTCATAATTACCAATGTTGCAGAGGATATTTGCGATGGCTTGGTTTGTGCGATATTCTTGATATTTTTCTCCAACTTGTTTGGCAATTTCTTTCGCATTCTTGTAAGATGTTATTGCTTCTTGTCGTTGACCAGCAATATAAAGGCAGCAGTAGCCGCACCATTCATTGATAATTCCCTCCAGAGCTTTCTCAAAACAAACCCCTTGCATTTCTTTACCCTTTATTTCTGTGTTAATGCTTAACGCTTTCTTGTAAGATTTAATGGCTTTTTCGTGTTTCTTTAATTGTCGAAAGATATGGCCGAGCATGAGACATGCGCTTGCTTCTTCGTTTCTATCACCAAGATCATGAGAAATTTCTTCAGCTTTGAGATACGATTGGACAGCAGCATTAAACTGACAACTTTTGTATTGTACATGTCCTAGATTTGTATGAGCTTCTTTTTCAAGACATTTGTGGTTGAGCTGTTTTGCCACTGTGATGGCTTTTAAGAAATACTCTTCTGAGGATTCAAAGTCGCCAATATGACTGAGCGCACTTCCTAACCCTATGCTAGCATTAAACTCTCTCGTTTTGCATCCAAGCTGTAGGGCAAGTCTTACGACTTCGTTGTAATATTCTATGGAATCTTGGTACTGACCAGCTTGCAGGTGGTTGTAACCTAACCATTGATATGCTATTACTTCTATCTCATCTCCTTTGAGCCGTGGAGATATTTGACGTGCCTTTTCATAATATTCGATTGCTTTCTTATACTTGGAAGTTCCAGTAAATACGTTTCCCAATTGTTGATAAGCTTTTGCTTTGATATCATTATGACCTATTTCATCCGCAATTACAATTGCTTGTTCGTATCTTTTGATGGCTTCCTCACTTCGACCTTCCGTTTGACAAGAACGTCCCAAGATTAATAATTGTTCTGCAGCCGCAATTCTACGATCAGTGATACGTCCGTTTTCGATGTCTGCTTGTTCCACATTATCAACAGTTTCAACATGAAGTTGAGCGTCGTCTGATGAATTAGAGTTTTGAACGCTATTATTATAATCATCATTGACTGCATCTAAATATAAAGAATACAATTACAGTCATATTAAATTATTGATTATTCCAGCGATTTTGAACGTCAAAGCAAGGAAAGAGTTTGAGCCAGAGAGCAACGCAGCCAGAAAGAACCCCCAAAAATGCTCTAGATAAACATTGAAGCTTTGTGTCAATATATGGGCCCACAGTATAATTGCTTTGATTTAAGCTGTTGTTGTGTTCCCGTCTTTGCATTGCATGAATATTTGCGTTATATTTATCCAAGCTGTAAATAAATACAAAAAATGGAAAATTGTTACTCAAGATCTCCATGAGTAGCTGCATGCGACGGTTTGCTAAACTCGGGCTTAACTTTGGGATTATATACTCATTGGCGTAACGCTCATTAGGTAGGGTTAGTTCAAAAACTAAGGGCCCCCGACAGTTAGGGACCCCATCAGCCACGGCCTATCACCCAGAAAATTAGAAAACGTTAAAAATGCAGGTCACGAATCTATGGGAAAATGCAAAATTAATAACGCTATTAAAATAATAAAGCCTCCATCAACAACGGTAACTGATTTTGTTATTCCATCTTAAATAAAACAAATATTATTCTTATCAGGGGCCGATGGCATAGAGCATTTCCAACCCCGGGGTTAAACTCAGCACTGTTGACCGGGATGAATTTAATTTAACCCTGTCTGTAATACAAAACTCTATCAAAATCAAACGCGCGATTACATGACAAAATTTTCAATCCAGGGCCTAGTTCAACCCCTCGGTTGAAATTGTGGAACGCAAAGTGAGATTTCATGTTTTTACCTTTAATTTGAATAATAACCCCCCCTCCCCCCTATTCAATGTTGTTTGGAATTATTTTCCGCTCGGAATAAGCATCACACAATCTCATTCATCAACGCTAGCAACAACATTGGAAAGGGGGCTCGGGGGAGTTCATTTTTTGCGAAATCTGTGAAAATATTACAACTCGCGCGCCTTTATACCTACTAATTAGCTTGCGTTCCACAAACTTTTGGCCATGATTGTAGCTAGCAGGTTGAAATTTCAACCCTGGGTTGAGCCTCTGCCAACAGGGAAAACTCGTCCCTGGGTTGAAAATTTTGACGTGTAATCGTTTCAATCCACGGATGAAATTATTTATGAGTTATTCGAGCATGCGTGGTAGTGACTATATTTGTTACAAGAAAACAAAATGGAGGCTATGGAGCCGTCTTTTACTTCCGGGAATCAATGCAGGGAACGTTGAAATCGTCCATGTAATCGCAAAAAATTTCAACCCGGTTAGCAGGGCTGAGTTCAACCCCGGGGTTGAGGGGCTGTTTATATGGTCCCGCTTACTCGGGATTCAATGAAGTGTGACGTATTTTGAGCAACTGAAATACATATTTCAGCCCTAAACAAAAGTTCGATAACTTTAAATATTGTTGGAACACGCTAGTGGAACAAGACGATTAATAGCATTCAAAACATTTGTTTTTTGTTTGAAACATGGAATTTCATACAATTTGTAACAAGCAATTTTGTTAGATCTTGAAGTGCGATCGACTTATTTCAATTGCTCAAAATATGTCACACTTTATTGAATCCCGGGTAAGAGGGACCTTACAAACGGCCCCTGAAAGTGCTCCATGTAATCGGACCCTTAGCTCTGTTGGAGACTGTTGTTGTTATAGACACGGAATTTTCCAGAACATTCTATAAATATTCGATATAGCTAAATATAATATTTCAGTCAAACAATAACAACAGTCAACAGGGGCCCCCACACCAAATATGTCTAAGGACCCCCTGTTCCTCCGTTACGCCACTGTATATACTGAGTTACCCTACCCTGGGTTCAAAGCCAGAGGTTTTCTGGTGTCAGGCCAGTTTTAGGTTTTCAAGCTTGGTCAGCACTGACCCCGATGCAGGCCTATAAACAAATAAATAGGCCTGATACAAACCTTGACAAAAGTCCATGTCGTACAACCGTATTTCGATTGTAAATCTGATTGGTATATGAGACAAAAGATTTTTTAATCTGACATTTGATTGGTTGGTGCTAATTAGATTATACTATTATGGTGATATATTTTATAGTGATCACAACTAGAAATCTATAATTATAGATTGTTGTTGTTGCTGTGTGAAATTTAAATTTCTCCTGCTAATAAAAATTTATTTAATGAGGGATTACATGCATTGATTACTTAATATAGTATTCTTCCCAATGGCCCACGATGTCTAATAGTAATATATAAAAAGAAAATCCTATTGAGAGTAACATTGACAATGCATGAGTAATATGCTTGCAATCGATGCAGCGGAATTTATTAACGTGATCTACTTCATAATTCAATTGAATAAAATAGGTTTTGAGCTTCTTTCTTAAGAATAAATTGAGTAATTTTCAATATCTTTTAATTCAGAAGGCAAAGAATTGAATAAACTAGAGAGACACTAAGTTCGTGAAGTTCCGATCCGGAGGATATTAGTGTAGAGTCATCGGCAAATAAAAAAGGCTTAAAACTTCCAACGTAACTGGGTAAATCGTTAATAAAGATAAGAAAGAGAATTGGTCCTAGTATAGATCCTTGAGGCACACCAGACTTTATCAGAGCTGGGTTGGATAGGGATGATGCAATTTGTACTACTTGGTAACGATCATTTAGACACGATTTAAACCATTTTAAAGCTATTGGAGTAATGCAGTATTGTTCTAATTTCTGCTGTAGCAATCTATGATCGACCAGGTCAAATGCTTTGGAGAGATCAATTAGAGCTATACCATTAAATAAACCTTGCTCAGTGTTATCGAGAAGGTGTTCACAGATCAATATTAGAGTAGATTCACAAGAGTGATGGCTCGAAAATTATGCTGGCAACTCGATAGAATATCATTTTCTGTGAGGAATTTTACATATGAGTTGGCAACATGTCGTTCGAGGAGTTTAGACACAGGGAGCCCCACTATGAGTTATGATTGAAATAATATTGTATTTATTTTTAAAAACCTACTTGAATCCCTTGATAATCGATTATTTCTTCTCTCGAAATTCTGTAAACATTTTAAAACTGCTTGAATCATTATACTATCACTCTACATGAAGTATAGATGATCGCTGACAAGTAAGGACCGCGGGCGCAAAAAGACGAAGGCGGCGAAAGAAGGGAGAATTAAACTAAAGGGCAATCTCGTTCCCACAGTATGCCTGTTCGCGGGTTAGGTAGTGGCGTGCCACTACCTAACCCGCGAACAGGCATACTCTGGGAACGAGATTGACTAAAGGGTTGAAACTTCGGCGGGTCATCGTTAGATGAGTTCGGTGTTCCATAAGTAGGTTGTTCTCCGGCAATTTCGCACGGGGCTCCAATGTGAGTTAAGCCGGTTTTCCATTAGGCGGAATTTTGCGCGCGGAGCGGAATTCTTCTTCGTCTGGTGATTTCTCGGGTGGAACTAATTAGAAAAGACAAAGAAAGATTCCGCTCCGCGCGCAAAATACCGCCTAGTGGAAAACAGGCTTAAGGATTGAAATAATATTGCATTTTTTTTAAACATACTTGAATCCCTTGATCATCCATGATTTCTTCTCTCGAAGTTCTGTAAACCTTTTAAATGGCTCGGACTCATTATGCTTGACGTCACGAGAACAACCTACTTATGGAACGCATTGTGCGAAAAAACCCTTCAAGTGTTTCATGTAAACACATACGAAAAATCAATCGTTTATTGAATCTACTACATCAGTTGTGAAGATATGCTCAAGAGGACATAGAATTTGCAAAAAATATTCGAAAACACAAAGAAATTGCGAATTTTAAGGCATTTAGAAATGTTATGTCGTCGATGTTTCAACCCTTTAGTTTAATTCTCCCTTCCTTCGCCGCCTTCGTCTTTTCGCGCCCGCGGTCTTTACTTGTCAGCGATCATCTATAGTTCATGTAGAGTGATAGTATAATGATTCAAGCAGTTTAAAATGTTTACAGAATTTCGAGAAAAGAAATAATCGATTATCAAGGGATTCAAGTATATATGTTTTTAAAAATAAATACAATATTATTTCAATCATAACTCATAGTGGGGCTCGCTGTGGTTTAGATAGAATCGGTAATATAGAAATGGGCCTGTAATTGTCTCTCTCAGTACGTGTTTCAGCTTTATAGATTAGAATCAGTCTAGCTTTCTTCCACATGTTGGGAAAGACGACATTTTCAATTCTCATATTACAAATGCGAAGTATTATGGGTGCAATGGAATGAATTGAGGATTTGATGAAGTGGGCAGGAATACCAACAAGACCGGTTGACTTGTTCTGATCTAATTCGGCTGCAAGATTTAGTATGTCATCGATTGTTATCAGTGGAATTGTAAACTTAATATGATTTGTTGCAATTGGTAAATGAGTATTAATTGGGTTGTTTAGTAAACTGATATCAAAGTTGTCTGCAATAAAGGAGAAGTATTCATTAAAGAGATCGCCAACCTCGATAGGATCGCTGATCTCCTTGCAATTAATGTTAAGTGTTATTGGGGAGACAGTGTCATTGGTCGGCAAGATATCTTTTAGAATCTTCCATAATTGTTGGGGATTATGTACATTATCAGTCAGGAGGTTCTTACAGTAGTCCTCTTTTGACTTTTAATAATATGAACAGTTCTATTTCTCCACTTTTTGTAGGTACACCATGTGTCGGAGTTTTTGGTTTTTGAAATTGCTTTAAAAAAAAGTCTCTTTTGAGGCTAAAGCAACGTACTTCAGAATTAAACAACCCCGGCAGTTTGTTATGTCTGACTCCACGTTTTATTAAACGTGCATGCCTATCCAAAATTTTCACTAAAGTGAGAGTAACAACAGTCTAATAGATCGTTTGGATCATCAAAGATTTCGTAAAGGCTTAACGGGATTTCTTCAACAAGGTCATTGCCAAAATTAGTCGCAATAAAATCTTTCTTCCTGCGATAACTAATCGTTGTATGTAAACGTTGTTTAATTGAGATCCTGGAATTAATTTTTCTAGAGATAAAAATTGGCGAATGGTCACTCATCCCAATATCTAGCACGCCTGATTTAATAACATTATCTTCCTTAGAGGTAAAGATAAGGTCAATATATAAACATTGCTGTGGGTGGAAAGCGATCGGATTCAACCTCCTTCCCCGGCAGGGTATTCGCTCTTGATTGGATTAAGGGTTGTGTCAGGCTATTATTTGTAAAATAGAGCCTGATACTCAGCTTAGACTACCAACGCTTGAGTGCAGGCCATAGCTTCTGCGAAACAGGAAACCCCCTGTTCCAGGGAAGAGTTTCCCCTTAGGACTTCTCAAATAATTCTTACTAAGTTTAAGGTAATCTCGAATTTTTACTTGAACCGAACACATTAGTCTGATGATGTCGCTGGTAACATGTGACGTTGCTTAAAGTGCCTATAACACTTGTGGGACTTTTATGGATTTGAAAAGAGCGTAAAAAGTTAGTTAATAAGTTCAAAAGATTTTTTTCATTTGGTGCAATAATTTCGAAGATACAGGCCTCTGAACTACCTACAGTTCCTGAGTCCCATGCTCCTGGGGTCTAAACACGGCTATTGAATTCGGCCTTTTTCGAAACTGTCCATTGTCAATAGGAGCCTGGGACTCAGGAAGTGTAGGTAGTTTAAAGGCCTGTATCTTCGAAATTATTGCACCAAATCCAAAAAATCTTTTGAACTTATTAACTAACTTTTTACACTCTTTTCGAATCCATAAAGGTCACACAAGTGATATAGGCACTTTAATAAATATTTTTTTATATACCAAATGTTTTTTTGAATATGCCTCTTTTACGAATTATTTGCTGGGCAATAATATTTTTAACTAGGATCCGCCTTGTGTTTCTATTGCTGATACGTTTTTGTTAATTTGCAGAAACTTTGAACATTTAATTTTTGTAAAAAACCATGGGCTAACCAACCAGGACATTCAAATGCCTACACCTCAAAGTCACATACCTGCAATTCTCAGTGACAATTCTTCAATTGCATTCCTCGCCCTATTTCCTTTTTGTTTATTTTCTAGTTCCTTTGCAATATCCAAGGCTTGCTCGTAGTATTTAATTGCCGTTTCAAGCTGATTGTTCAATCTATAAACCAATCCTAACCTAAGGTATGCCGTTGTCTCCTGATTTTGATCTTTTCGTTCTTTTGCAATTTCCAAGGCTTGCTCGTAGTATTTAATTGCCGTTTCAAACTGATTGTTCAATCTATAAACATGTCCTAACCCAAGGTATGCCCTTGTCTCCTGCAGTCGATCTTTTCGTTCTTTTGCAATTTCCAAGGCTTGCTCGTAGTATTTAATTGCCGTTTCAAACTGATTGTTCAATCTATAAACAAATCCTAACCCAAGG